AAAAAATAAAAATAAAAATCGATTCTTATCTAAGGTTGCAAATTGTACATTTTTCAGAAAGATTATGTTCATCAATCTTCATGTATAAAAAAATATGAAAATGTTTTTATATAGATAAAGCATATCCACTGACATTACATATGATCAATCGATCATTTGGTGGGAAAAAAAGATTCATTTCACCTACTTAAAGATGGAGAAATTGTTATTGATCTTAAAATACCATACACTAATACTGCAATTGAAGTATTAATCTATTTTTGCAAATTGTACTTAATCAGACATGACTTTTTCGATAAATCTCCTTATGAGATATAATTATACATTAAATCAAAGACATTTGAGTGGTATGATTAGTTACCTAAAAGGAAATATTAATGAAGTTTAAAGAGGAAATTACAAAATCCCAGACTTTCAAGATCACAATGCAAAAATAAGGTGTATAAATTTTTCATTCACAATTCAGATATTGATTTACCTATTAATATTAATAATATCAATATAAAATATATCAATCCTATCTCATCCCAATCCAATTATAAACCCTAAAATTCAAATTCATTTCTCTTCATTTCTCCCTTCTCACTCTCCCTACTTAACCCATTCCTTAGGTGGCGTCGTCCACTCTAGGAGATCTCCATATGCAACGCGGCAATGTGAAGAGGATTTCTATAATTTGATTTGTCGATTTGTGAAGAAGAGAATAAAGAACATAGGGGAGAAGAACCCAAACTGTCAATGCTTCACTCCTGGAGATCGCAGTCCACTGCCGGAGACCACCTCCATAGTGCAGCGATGAGAAGAGGATTTCTGTAATTTGATTTACCGAATTACTTATTTGGATTTGTGAGAAGAGAATTCCTATAATTCGATTTACTGAATTAGTCAACTGGATCTGCCAAATTTTTGTAATATTTTATTTTCACCAGCAAACACTGCTGTAGAGGTGATGGCGTTTGTATAGTGAGGGTTTTGTGGTGATGGATGTGGTGGTTGATCTAGTAGTTGGGTAGGTTTTATTGAATTAGGCAGTGGCTTGGGGATGTTTTGGTGGTGTTGGGGGTTTTAGGTGTTTTTGTTAGTTGTGGAGGTAGAGGCATTGGTAATGGTTTTGTTGGCGGTACAGGTAAAGGTGTTGATCGTGGTGGTGGCAGATAACAATGGAGATGACGATAATGGTGGTGGTGGTGTTGTGGTGCTAGTGAGGGTGGTCGCAAGTGGCTGGAGTGTTGGTGACGGTGGTGCCCAGCTGTTGTTGTGTTGTTGATGATGGTAGTGGTGGTTGTCGCGATAGCGATGACGATGATGGGTGGGGTGTCTGTCTGTGACCAACAATTAGGCGTCTATGACCAACTATGTGGCTGATTTGTGACTAAATAATAAATGCTCGTGACTCAAAAATAATTTGTGACCAATAAATTGTGACTTATATAATCTACATATAAAATGTGACCTGTAATTTGAATGATCTGTAACTTACAAAATTTTTTATTTGTGACTACGAAATAATCTGTGACCAACTAATTTGACGATATGTGACCAGTAAATAAATTTGTGAACTATAATTATGAACTTGTGACCATTAAGAACTCTTGCAAAGGGGAACCATGCATTACCTGACATGAGATAGATCTTCCAACAGCGACTTAATTATCTTTATTTAATAAATATTTTTAATTAATTAAATACATACCCGATTTTTTAATTTTCAAACTATTTCCTGACTTTTGAATTGGGTAAACATAAAACCTGAAATTTGACTTTTTCCCAAGTTTAAAAACATATCCGGCCTATCTAAACACCTGGCCCAACTAGTCCATCTATGTGTGAACCTTTCACCGGGCACCATAGTTTGCCTTTGTAGAAGAGCAATTTTAGGTTTTTTTTGCCTGTTTATGAAAAGTTATGTAATCTTTATAATTTGATGTTAAAGTTAAGCCCCAGTTTGATTCTCATTTATTGATCACAAAAATGAAAAATATGATCGTTATCTATTATATCGAGCCATTATATTTGATTTTCTATCTCTTGAGTAGGGATTATATTTTTTATTCCCATTCTTAGAAAAATGGGAATCAAACAAGCCCTAAATATTAATTTTATTCACACTTGCATCTCTAAGAAACTATTTGTTTTAACTTTTTTAAAACAGATAATCTGTTTGACTTTGGAGCAAAGACTGTCTATCTATAAAGAGCACACTCCCTATTTTAAATTATTTAAATCGTATTTTAATTGATTGTTCATTTACATATATAAAATAATTTAAATAAAAATCAAGAAGAATTAATAAATATTTCTTGAAAAAACTAAAAAAAGAATCAAAATATATTATATTGTTGGAGTGTATAACGTTTTACTCTCTAAATTAAAGATGCTATTTAAAATAAAAAGTTTCTTTTGAAGATGCTTTTAAAAAATTAAAAATAGAAAGTCTCTTGAAATATATTTTTAAGCATTTTCTCTATTTTATAGAGATTTTTTTTTCTTTCAATTAAAAGGTCTCTCCATTTAGAGAATCAAGCCCACTATTTATTTATATTTTATCACTATTACATTTAATAAAATTACAAGTTCCAATGCTCAACTACTTAAGCTATTCATACTATATTCAATATTGGAAATATTGACATCTGAATAAATATATTAAAAATGACAGAAAAATAATAAACAATTGTTCCAAAAGGTGACATAAATAACAAAAAATAAAGAGTTTGTTGATATGTACAAAATACATATTTTTAACTTTAAAGACATTCTCTATTATGAATGTATGGTCAAGATGCTTTTTAAAAATAAATAATCTTTTGAAGATATTTTTATCATTCATACATTTCGTAAAATTCAGTATTCATCTTCATTATCATCCTATTATAATTTATCCTAAACAAGACCGAGACTACCACTTTATTAGTTCTACCAAACAATAAAATAGTCCATCCATGAAAACGAGCCTTTGAAAATATAGGACTGGAAAGCAACTTGTGATCTTAACAAGATTTTATTCCAAAACTTTTATTAGGCAAAGTTCTTATCTACTAGTAAGTGGGTGATTCTCATTTTCAAATTCGTTTCGGCCACGAAATTTCATCTTGGAGCTTATGGTGTTTTGGCATGCGAAATGCAAGTGGATTAGCCTCTATTAAAGGCTTTTTAAGGAACAATTTAATGCATTTTAAAACAGTTGATAGCAAGTGATTGGTTCCAAATTTGGGGTGACTTCAACGTTGAACCATGGATTAAGTATTAAATATTGCTATTTAGAATCAGTGATATTAAAATATTCGTATAAATGACATTAAGTCTGTACTTGAGTCCATTATTTAAAAATTAATTTTTAATTACATATTCTTAGCTACACATTCTCCTAATAAAATAATTTTATACGTAAATTCAATATCTTATTTTCTGACCACACATTCTTAAAAAATGACTCTTACAAAATTTATTATCTTGAAAAATGTGCTCGAACAAATGCCTAAGGGATATAATAATCTGCCTAATTAAATGAGTAATATATTCCTACATGTAAATTAATTTATCACTTAGTTACCTAAATTGATTTTATAGCACCATGAGTTCAGTGTCCTATGATTGAGTTTATGTATTCAACGATGTTAAACCATTGTTTAATGTGGACCAAAAAGGACAGACTTTTAGTATATTTTTATAAAAATTAATAAAATATATGGATAAAATTCATGCAGCTAAAATTAATTATTTACTTTCATTTAGATTAAAATTTATATTTTGATCACATCAAACAGAAGCTAAATGTAATTTGACATTAAAAAAAAAAAAAAAAAAGGGTTTCAATAGACCAATATCAAACTAACACCTCTAGAAATTGTCAAGATTACATTGTACCAATAGACCTAATTATTATTTTAATGAAAAAATAAAAAAAGGTAAGGTGTCGCATGACAATCTCATAAGTGAATGACATCGTGACAAATAATCAAGTGAATATAAATTTAAGTATCAATCTTACGAGTATTAATTATCAATTTCAATTTCTAATTAACTTAACCTTAATCAAATAGCAAAATTATATAGAGAGATGAATTATATTTACTAATTAAACCTGTAACTAAACTAGTTATCTATCTAATCCGTTGGGAAGTATTTAAAAAACTCAACTAATTGATAGTTCTAGGACTTTAAGTCTCCCTATATCATTCAATCTTAATACCAATTTCATTATTTGACAACACTTATTTGGAATTGAAAGTCAATCTTCCTATCTTATTTAATAATTATCTTTCAAGTAGAATTAATTCGATTTTCACATTTGAGCATACTATATTCCTGTTTTAACTGCAAACAGATGAAGATGTTTTAATTCGTAGGAATATTGAATAGGATCATATATAAACAATAGCGGTGTATTTCTATTCCTTATCAAACTTTATAATGATTGTTTCTACGTACTGAATTCGTATTCCTCCTTCCGAATGTCAATAAAAATCATATATTAATTTAATTATTGGTCAAATAATTGAAAATCATTAAGATCACAACAATCATTTAAACCAAGCAAACGTTTTGTGTCACACTACAACAAAAGTTGTTTTTTATGAAATTTATCTACAACGTACATTTTAGGTATGCCATAAAAAGTTTGCTTTTATGGCGTGCCTTAAATATGTGCTGTAATAATTCAATTACTTAAAGTATTTGCGGCATACATTTAGAGCACACCATAAACAGTCTATTTTTACGGCATTATTCTCAAACATGCCATAAATGATTTTATTTCTTATTGTTTGTATTAAAAAAAAATATATTTACGATATACATGTTGCTTGCCGTAAACAGTAAGATAAAAAGTGCAATACATTTAAGAATGCCGTAAAAATGGTATTTTTTTTTTTAATTTTTTAAGCAAGATTTTTTACGGCATACCTTTGAGCATGCCATAAAAAATGAAATTTCTTTTATTTTTATTTCTCTTTCCTCCTACAGATTTTTATTTTTCCTTTTCTTTTTCTTTCCTCTTCTTTTCCACGTTTTCTTCTTCCTCCTTCCCTGTTATTTCCTCCACTCAAACCCCTCATCGTCCCTCACTAAAGGAATTTGTACTCTGCCTACAAAATTTTGGAAGACAAATTCAAATTTGTGGGTGGAATTCACCTTCCCCCCTCCCCCACAAAAAAAAAGACATTTTGTAGGGTTATAATTTGTTTCAAAATTCTCAATAGTCCAAAGACTTGTGCCTACAAAAATTTGTGTTTTTACTCGACAAAAAATTTGATGGGCAAGATATATCGTTTGCCTACAGAAATATTTTACATGTTTGTAGACTAATAATTAATGGAAAATTTTCGATTTAATTTTTATTTTTAGTACCTTACAAAATGTATATTTGAAGTGAAAAGATAATTTCCATTTTTTTCCTTTCCTTTTTTTTCCCCTTTCTTGTTTTTTTTTCTCCTATTTTCCTTTTACTTTTTCTTTCTCCCTCCACATTTTCTTTCTTCTTCTCCCTTCAACTTTCTCTACTCCGACGCGCCACAAGATTATTGTCTCACTACCTTCAATCAGCAATCATCCGTCAATCCCAGTAACCTAAAGATCCAAGTTAGTGCCAGAGACAACTTAGAGGTATCATTATTGGTTTTTATTTGTTGGGTTGTTATCGATTTTGTTGGGAAATATTGTGAAATGCAAATTAGGTTATTTGATTGTTATAAATTCATTTATTAGGTTTCTATCAATTCATTTATTGGTTGCAGTGGAATATCTAAGATCTACAATAAAGTGAAGGTTCAAACTCCATTGAAAATGTTGTGGGTTCTGGTGGGTAAATTGTTGAATTTGTTCGTTTGGATCTTGAGCGTTCTCTTACTTTGACGTTTCTTTACATTTTATAGGAAAAGTGGTTACAAATATGCTATCTAGTTCGACTCTAGGATAATGATAAATTCCTAGGGCTATCTTTTCTCATTTCATTTTCTTTTTGGGTTTATCAATTATGATTTTTGTAATGAGGTAATGATTTGTATTATATGTGAAGATTTTATTTTTACTGTAATTTTCAGTACGATGGATGACATTTCACTAGAATGTTAATGATTTCAACATTGATTTGTTTGATCGGGTTTGTGTTGTAAATCTCTAGATATATGAAGAAGCAAAGAAGTTCTCGTATCAATCTAGTGTAAAGGTTGTGGTTGCTTATGGTGGGGCACCAATTTTCCAGTAGGTTCGAAATTTTTTACATCTGAAACTAAAATTGTTATGTTGTTTTGACATTGGCTATTAATTTATCTTAACGTCTTTTGGCTAAATTCTGATCAATGTATTTGTTGATTGTAATGTTAGAATGGTTTAAGTAGATTGTTAGATTGTAAGGTGATGAAATTAGAAAGCAGGGACATGATGGCTCCATGGGCTTCTTGACGAGGTAGTTGCCATGTTTTAGTGAATTTTTATATTTCTTGTAATGATATTTTGTCATTCTAAGATACTATAAGTAACTTCTTCTTTTTTTAGTTTTTTTGACAATTTCAGTTTTTTTGACAATTTCATTATCTTTGGAATGTAGTTTCCATCCTTTCCTACTTGATTGTCTTCTTGTTGACACGCCAAAAGTGCAGCCCAAATCGAATAGTCCAAAGAATGAAGCCCAACTGGGCAATTCAGGATAAAGGCCCAAATAGGGTTATTAATGAATGCAGTGGAAGCCCACGAATGCAGTAACACCATCGCCCAAACTTGCAAGACGCCTAAGATCTGAGCAAATGAAGTGCCTTGCAGTCGCCTAGGGTTATGACCCTGTTCTCGTCCAAACCTTCGAATCGCCCAAGATCTTAGCAAATATAAGATGTTATGATTATCCAAAAGTACAGTTATCGAAGCAGTTATTAAGTAATTTTATCACGTTCCACGATTGAAGGATGTTCAGTTGAAAACGGTTGAACGACAAAGAGTAGTGACAGCAGTTAGAGACGGCAGTTCCACGATAAGTTCGCCAACATGAAGAAAGTGGGTAGTTATAAAGCAATTAAGCGGTTTCTAAGTGGTTGATCACGAAGAGATCATCAAAGGAATATAAAAGGAAGAAAAGACATAGAGCGAAAGGTCCCCGAATCAAACACTCTCAAACAGAGAATATATAATTTTAATTTCTTAATTTAGACTTAAACATTTCTTTTTAGTACTCGTGTGCTTGCGCCACTTGGAGGCATTCTGTTTAGTTCCAATTGTAAAGTCATCGCCAATAAAACATTCCTTTTTGGGACTTTGTCTCAAGAGGTTTGTTCCTTACATAATCGTCTGATCCCTTTTTAATTGTTAGCGACCACGCGCGCGAAACACTTCTATAATGGAAGTTTCTGTCTCCACTTTCTTGAGTCCTTAGGCAATTGAGCACATGTTTAATTTGTAAGCCAAAGACACTTTTATTACATGCAGTTTTCGTCCTTTTTGTTGGTAAAATTAGTTGATCATTACTTAAGGAGGATATGGTTTAAGGAAATCTATGATTATGTTGGTAAAATTAGTTTATCATTATATTATGTCTATTCATTAGTGATGTTCAACTCATGTCAAGAAGCAAGTTCGTCGTTCCTGTTTTTGTGAAGCTACACATATATACAATTTTTAGTTAGATTTAATTTTTGGTATGTTGTTTTCTTCACACATTTTTTGAATAAATTTTGACAAAATGAGTGAAAATACATCTAAGTATATTACTTATTTTTGTGATGTGCAGGGAGTTGATTATATTTGAGATAGCTAATTAAATGTTGATCAAAGAAGTAAATTTCTTGATATATGGAATAATTATTTTGTAATAGTTTAACTAGTTATTTTGGAATAGTAATCTACATTTTGGCATATTGTATTGAACCATACTCAATACTTTCGTTCATTGAATTTATGAAAAACATGCTTATATATGTATTGATATATGATTATATTCTTTAATTATTTGTGTTTGGTGATCAAATATATATATATATATATATATTTTATAAAAATTAGATGGACATATCTGGCATGCATTAAAGTATGCTTTGAAAAATATCATCTTTTTAACAGTGCGTAGATGCATGCCATACAAAAGTTAGTATTTAGGGTGTACTTTTGATTTTTTACCGCATGCAATACATGTTATAAAAAGATGTGAGTATTTACGGCATGGCTTTATATGGTGTTCAACAGTATGCCGTAAAAAGCTTTTGTTGTAGCACACAATCTAGAAATTAATGTCAAAACATCAAAACATAGGGTTCAATATTGTCCTAATATGTATACAATTAGTCAAGCATGATATAATTACAAAAACACAAATTAGATGATACAACATCACCCTAAATTAAAGATTGAGAGAAAACATGAAAAAATGTCTTGATAATTTTCCTTGAATATCTTCTTCAACCATAGCGAAAATGTATGAATATAAATGTTTTGTATCAAAACTTCCTTCAAAGCTTGTAAAAAAGATTTTTATTTTTTATTTTTTCTAAAACCCCCAAGAGCAAGAGCTTCCTTTAATTGCAGATGAAGACATGTATTTATAGTCCCAAAACTAGGCCAAAACTCGTTCCCTAATTTCTTTCCAAGTGGACGTTGAATGAAATTAAGAAACAGAATTGAATTGGTTGGATAACATCATGCGATCGGACAAGGTAATTTGTTGCAATCATACAGTATGAGTTATTTGCTTTCTGGTGACACATCAACAAGTTGGTTCTTGACTTCCTCTTTTGGTTTAGTTCGAATTCCTGTCTATTTGTATCATTGGTCCCTCATCTTTCAATCTTACAATTTGATCTTTATAATCTGCAATCGTCCGAATCGATCTCTTGCAAGTTTTGGAAGTTGTAATTAAATCCTTAAGTTTTTCAAATGTCGAATTTAACTCCTAAAATTTATGAATTTCTTCTGATTGCTTTCTTAATTCTCCGTATTGATTGAATGCAATCTAATTGAGAATTAATGCTCCGAATCAACTCAATTAAGGTCAAAATCTTGTTCTTCACTCCAATTGATTCAATAAATAATCAAGTTTATACTCTTGAATGAGTGTATAAAATACACATATCATAAGTTTTCAAATGTCGAATTTAACTCCTAAAATTTATGAATTTTTTCCGATTGCTTTCCTAATTCTCCGTATTGATTGAATGCAATCTAATTGAGAATTAATGCTCCGAATCAACTCAATTAAACTCAAAATCATGTTCTTCACTCCAATTGATTCAATAAATAATCAAGTTTATACTCTTGAATGAGTGTATAAAATACACATATCATAAGGCTTGTTGCTCATCTTGAATCAAATCACTTCAGAATCTAGAGGATTGAAATATTTTACACATTTAATCACGGCAATAAGTTATTTTCTGGACGTTGAAACTACAAAAGGTTACATGTGGACAATTTAACTTTAGTTAATCATAAACAACATAAGTAATTCGATGTGAGATATAAATTGTGTTTTCTTTAGTTGGATATCTACTCTTCTAGTACAAGGCCAACATCTCGTACCATGTCCCAACGTTCAATGTTGCCATTCTTTAATCAAAAGTAAAATGAAGGGTGTGGAAATCTATGAAAATTGCATGAGATAAATACCATGATGGGTTTGTTACAATTTCTGTAACACCCCCAAATCTAGATATTTAAATCTGAAAGTATTATCACTTAATTATTAAGAACCTTCAATATGTGTATAATTATTTATTATTTTTTCTTTTAATCATCAGTGATTAGTCACCCAACTTAAAATGCAAGGCAAGAATATAATTAACGTATGGAGGATTTTTTTTTTTCCATAACCAATATTCTAATAACATAAGACAAATAGTAAACGAATTATTAATGACCCAACTTCGACTGACTTAAACTATGCATGTGACTATACGAGTTTTTGTGAAATAAAAGATATTGTGATAATAATATATCAAATAAATATAATTTCCTTATTACACTTAAGTACTAAAATATTTAGAAATTAATGCACAAGGACCAAACAATAGCTATAGAACATGTTAATCCAAGGTACTTTTGGTATGTACTTTATTTATTTTGGCAAAGGAACAACGATGAGTGCATATTGTTTTCAGTTAATTAATTTAATAGTACATTATCAGTCTTATTAAACATGTAATATAACATCAAAACGATAATATTATAAATAACATTGAAAATCATATTAATACCACTCTTTTAATATGCTTGTAAATAAATGTCTGCTAACAAAACTTCAACGTCATTTATATATTCACTTTATTCAAGTGCTAAATTAATAAAGTCTACCAGAACAATAATTTGGGGATGATACAAACTATTAATTTATGGATACTAAATTCAGTTTTGTTTGCTCTAAAATTTTTCATTTAAATCAAATGACAAACTTGAAATCATTTTAGAGAATTGAATAATTTAAAAGTATCAAAATCATTAAATTAATTAACATATACATGAAAAGCATTATACTAATTATGTAACCGATATATAATGATCACAATATATCAAGATTATTAAAACACGGTGTTAAACAAAGTTTAATGTATTAATCATTAAAATATAATGTATCACGCATAAAAAAAAAGGGGGAAGAAGGCTAGCTAACCTTAAGGAGAAGGTACATATTAGTGTAATTAGTTTTAAGTATTCAAAATTCCCAAATCAGGTAGAAAGTTTTATATTTCATAAATCAGATTTTTTTATTAATTATTTAAATAAACTAATTATCAAAAAAATAAAAACCCTGCACCCACTACCTAGCCGTCAGTACCCATTCCTTCCCTTTCCCTTGCTCCTCTCTCTCTCTCTCTCTTCTTCGGTGACAACGCAACCCTCTCGCTACCGCTGTGAAGACGCCTCATTATGCCATTCTTCGACCGCTATAGCAGGAAGTTGCGTTGTTGCCTTTCTCCGGCCGCTACAATTCTTCTTCCTCGATGAACTATTGTTGCCGTTTTTGCTTCCCAAAGAATAAACCCCCGACGTGTTCCGGCAAGACATTCACAATCGAAAGAAAGGAAACGCTGCATGAGGTGCGCACATCGGGATCGCGATCTCCGTCCCCAGAGCTGACAGCAGCGTCAACCCCATTCTTGCCGGAACCCTTGCCGAATATTAATTAAATAGATGTTTAGAACGCCATATCTGAGGGTTTGTTGGTGGTTGTAGTGGTGGCGTTGATTTTGTTGGTGGTTTAGGCGATGGTTTTGTTGGTCACAACCACTGGTATAGGTTCTGAAATTAGGTGTGTTGATGGTGTTTTGTATGGTGTTGTGTGGTAGTGGTGGTGACGGTGATGGTGTTTATGAGGTGGCAGTGTCGGGTGGTGTTTATGTGGTCGCGGTTTTGAGTGTGGGTGTTTGTAACGATTTTATTAGTGGATTGAAAGTTTTGGTCAATGTGGTCGTGGTTTTCACAGTGGTGGTGGTAGTGGTGGTGGTGCTGTTGGAGGCAGTGTTGAAGTGGTGGTTGTAAGTGTTAGTGATAGTCACACATTATTTGATTAATTATGACTTGTGAATTGGTTAATTTGTGACCAATAAACAATATGTGACCAATGAAGATGATAAATTGTGACCAAGAGATAATATGTGACCTAAAAAATTAATAATTTGTAACTGTCTAATAAGTTTTGAAATATAATATTTGTGATCTGTGACCTATGAATTTTTTTTATTCGTGACTGAAAATAATATGTGATCTATAAATTTTTTTATTTGTGATCGAAAAATAAGTTCTGACAATAATTTGATAAGTTATGACCAATTAATTTTTTGATTTGTAACCGATTAACAAACCTCTACCTACAAAATTTTTGAATTGTGATCGTAAAATAATTTTTGATATAAAATTTCTTATTTGTGATCAAAAAATAATAAGTGATTAATTAAATTGTTAACTTGTGACCAAATTGTATAGATATGTGACTTAAATATATTTAATTAATAAAATAATTAATTAAATTATAAATAAATTTTAATAAAAATCTTATTTTTGAAGTTTGAAACTTATTTTCTTAATTTTGTAATTTGCCATACTTAAGCTCTTACTTATGAAATTTTCCCCACATATTATGCTTCTTTTCACATATAGAAATGAAGTTTTGAAAAATCATTGGCTATGAAAAATATAATATTGGATTCGCTATGGAAAATATAATATTGGGGGAGAAAGAAAATGGTTGGACATTTTTTCCCCCATAGGAAAGTTTCATTTTCCTTCTTAGGCATTTATTTTATGAATTCATTTATGCTAATTAAAATGTACTCATTATAGTGTCAATGCCAAACAAATTCAAGGCACCAAATTTTGCTCAATTACATGACCAATTTTCAAATATGTTGACCAATTATTGATATTGCATTTACTTAACAAGCAAATAAAATCCTTTAACATGATATTTCGGGTCAAGTTATGGTAAGTTATAAAACTATAGACATAAGAATAAAATAAGTGTATCA